ATATCCAATCTTGGCCTCAGGCACAAGCCACCAAAGGCAACAGGAAAATCAAGACTCTAATAGGAGAAATTCCCCAGGCCTAGGAGTATCCAAAAGATGCAAAGTAGCCATTTAAAATGAGAAATGGCCCAGCCGGTGTGGCTCTGGTTGAGCGTCAACCTATGAACCAGGAGGTCACTGTTCGATTTCCGGTCAGGGCACATGCCTGGGTTGCAAGTTTGATCCTGTGTGGGGCGTGTAGGAGGCAGCCAATTAATGATTTTCTCTCATCATTGATGTTTCTATCTCTCCCTCTCCCTTCCTCTTGAAATCAATAAAAATATATTTAACAAACAAACAAACAAACAAAACACCAGGTGACTTTAAGTACAAAACAAACCATTCTAAAGAACAGTTTAAGAAAACTCTCTTTCATGGTTGTAAAAATAATTAAATTTAGCTATTCCTGGTGTGGCTCAGTTGGTTGAGAGTCGCCCCATACACTGAAATGTTGCCAGTTCAATTCCTGGTCAGGGCACATGCCCAGGTTGCAGGCTCTATCCCCAGTTGAGAAATGGGGGGAGGGGGCAAGAGATCAATGTTTCTCTCTCACATCAATGTTTCTCTCTCTGTCTCTCTCTCTAGAATCAATGAAAAACATATCCTCGGGGAGGATTTTAAAAAAAAGTTTAGCCCAGCCAGAGTGGCTCAGTAGTTGAGCATTGACCTATGAACCAGGAGGTCACAGTTCAATGTCCAGTCAAGGCACATGCCGGGGTTGCGGCCTCAATCCTCAGTAGGGACCATGCAGGAGGCAGCCGATCAATGATTTAATGCTGATCAAATGATTCTCTCATCACTGATGTTTCAATCTGTCCCTCTTTCTCCCTTCCTCTCTGAAATCAATAAAAATATATAAAATAATTAAAATAAAGTTTATTTTAAAGCTGATCAAATCCATTCATTTAATAATCGTACCCTGAGGCACTACTTTGTATTAAGCACTGTCTTGGTGATGGGAATCAAAGTCCCTATCTCTTAGAATGCACATTCTAGTGAGACACTAAAAGACCATAAAAAATAGATGCTAGATAATAAGATCAATGGAAGAACATCTGGAGAATAGGGGCTGCAACATTAGCAATCATAGTCTGTTTCCTACATCACTGAATCGAGTTCAAGACTGCATCACTAGGAGAACCAAGATGGTGGTGTAGGTAAACGCCAGTATGTGCCACCTCCCACAACCACATCAAAAGTACAACTAAATTACAGAACCACCATCATTCAGAACGGCCTGAAAGCTGGCTGAATGGAAGTCCTACAAATAGAGAAGTAAAGTAGAAAGTACACTGAGACAGGAGGGGTGGAGGCACGGAAGGGAGGGAGATCATCTCTGTGGAGGATGCCCAGGAGGAGTAAGGGGTCCCAGACCCACACCATCCCCCCAGCCCAGGGCTCCAGAGCTGGGAAGAGAAGTCTCCGAAACTTCAGGCTGTAAAAACCAGTGGGGATTGTGGCTGAGTGACCTGGAGGCTGCTGGAGACCAGGAGTTCCTTTTAAAGGGCCGGCACACAAACTTACTCAGACTCGACCCCTCTGAGCTCCAGCACCAGACAGCTTTGGGGAACCCAGACAGAAACGCAGAGGAACTGGATTATCTGGCTTCAAAGCAAGAACTTGGAAGTGGCTTTCTCCCAGACAGGGGTGCTCCCGGGGATCATTGTTCCTGTGCTGGGAGCTCCCCTGTTGCAGAGCTGACTGGCAGGGGCCATATCTGAGTCTCCATCAACCTGGCTCATACTCTTTGCCCTGGTGATTCCCTGAGACCCTGAGCCATCCACTTTGCAGCCCTACCCAAGCTGCTTGCAGCAGTTTTTCCATATGAATGGCCTATGCTGGCTCAGGCTTCAGACTCTAAAATCTTTAATACAAACTACAGCTGGTGTCAGCATGCCCCAAACCTATCAATAAAAGCCCCAAAACTGGTACTAGCACCAGCCCACCTTGCTTCACAGTTGGGCTTCACCTGGGCACATCCAAGCCCAATACAAGTAGTAGCTATCTGCAGATCTCTCTGTAGCTCCTGCCGGGTGGCCCCAGGCAGTGGCTGACTTTGCACCTCCCTGGAGGCCCTAGAGCTAGTGCACCTGGTGGACAACTTCAGACCATACCAGATTACAACTCTACACATCCACAGTGACACACTCAAGGGGCAGACTCAGTGAGCACCAAAGCCCCATTGAAGCAAGTCCTGCTCCATAGCAGTTTTTCCTGATAGCAGCTCTCCCACTGTAGTCGCAGATGGTCCTCAAAGCCAATTGGCCTAGAGGTCAATTCGTCCCACCGACACCAATAGCCATCAAGGCTCAACTACAAGACTGTGCACACAGGGGCACACCTACAGTGCCCAGCTCAGGTGCCTGGGGAGGCTGAGCCACTAGGCCCTTCAGGACACCTATTACACAAGGCCACTCTACCAATTCCAGAAGACACAGCAGCTCTACTTAATACATAGAAACAAGCAAAGGGAATCCACCAAAATGCAGAGACAAAGAAACACGTCATAAATGAAAGAAATGGAAGAAAGCAAACTACTGGATACAGAGTTCAACACTATGGTTATAACATAAGGTTACTCAAGGATCCTCATGAGAGCTTCAAGGGACTTACTGAGACTTTCAAGGTTCTTAGTGAGAATTTCAAAGACATGAAAAAGGACCAGTCAGATATTAAGCATACAATAACTGAAATAAAGAAGAATTTACAGGGATTCAACAGTAGAGTAGAGGATTCTGAGAATGAAGTCAACGACTTGGAATATGAGGAAGCAAAAAACACCCAATCAGAACAGCAAAAAGAAAGAAGGATCCAAAAATATGAAGATAGTGTATGGAGCCTCTGGGACAACTTCAAGCAACCAACATTTGCATTATTGGGTGCTAGAAGGAGAAGAAAGAGAGAGCAAGATACTGAAAACCTATTTGAAGAAATAATGACAGAAAACTTCCCTTACCTGGTAAAAGAAATAGACTTACAAGTTCAGGAAGCACAGAGAGTCCCAACCAAGATGAACCCAAAGAGGCCCACACCAAGACACATCATAATTAAAACGCCAAGGGTTAAAGACAAAGAAAGAATCTTAAAAGCAACAAGAGAAAAGCAGTTAGTTACCTACATATGACTGTCAGTTGATTTCTCAACAGAAACTCTGCAAGCCAGAAGGGAGTGGCAAGAAATATTCAAAGTGATGAATACCAAGGACCTACAACCAAGATTACTCTACCCAGAAAAGCTATCATTTAGAATGGAAGGTCAAATAAGAGACAAGAAAAAGCTGAAGGAGTTCATCACCACCAAACCAGCATTACATGAAATGTTGAAGGGTATTCTTTAAGAAGAGGAAGAGGAAAAGAAGAAGAAAAAGGTAAAAAACTTGAAGAATAAAATGGCAATACATATCTGTTAACAACTGAATCTATTAATCAAAATAATCTAACAAGAAATCTAATGAACAAAATAAACTGGTGAATAAAATAGAATCAGAGGCATGGAAACATGGAAAATACTGACGAATCTGAGGGAAGGGGGGAGGGAGGGCAGGAAGAGAAAAACCAAAGATCTTACCTATGGACACAGACAATAGGGTTGTAAAGGCCTGGGGTGGGGCAGGGTAGGAACTGGGTGGAGGGGGGAAAGAGGGACATCTGTAATACTCTCAACAATACAGGTTTTAATTTTTTTTTTTAAGAGTATATCACTAAGTGGGGAAAATTGAAATGCTGATGTGATACACATCACTAAAGTTTAAATTAAATGAAGTTTAGTGTTAATGTGCTAATTTTTTTACTTGTCACTACTTTATCACATCTTTAGCAGTAGTAAAATTCTAAGTGAATTTGTGAAACTTCTGTGAAAGAGATTTTCAGGTACAAAAGAGTTGAGAAGTGCTGTGTTATATTATTAAACTGACAGTGAGCCTTATGTGGCACTCACCGAAGAATCAGGCAAGATTTGTCCCTCAGGAAAATATTTGGTAAAGCCTGGAAATATTTTTTGGTTATCATAACTAGGGAGGGTCCTCCTGGCATCTACTGGGTAGAGGTCAGGAAAGCTGGTCAACTCCATACAATGGATAGGACAACCCTCCACAAAAAAAAAACTATGTGACCAGAAATGTCAACAGTGCTAGGGGGTTAAAAAACTGCTCTACTATGATGATGTGGTGAGTCTGCATTTAGAGCCATGGATCAGAGTAAAGAGCGTGTGTGGATGGAGGATAAAAGTGAGGCCACAGGGGGTTTACTTTCGCCTTGAGGGAGAGGATTGCAGAAGGAAAAGCATGAAGATGATGGAACAGCACAGTAAAGTAATGGGCACAATCATGTACAGCCTAAACAGGGGTGAAGAGGATCCTAATGGGCTGTATGGTCACTTTCTATTTCTTTACACAGCATCTGACTCAACATAAACTAATGTGGTCTACAAAGAAATGTGTAAAATTCTTCAATTTTCATATATGATCTTTGCTTAAAGCAAGGCCCACTCTCCCATCCCCCACTGCATAACTGTACAGGCTCCCACCCTGGCCGGTTTGGTTCATTGGTTAGAGCGTCACCACAGACCAAAGGGTCGCGGGTTCAATCTCAGATCAAGGGCAGGTACCTGGGTTGCAGGTTGGATCCGCCCTGCAGTAGGCAATCAATGGATGTGTCTCTCTCACATCAATGTTTCTCTTTCTCTCAATCTTTCTCTCTCCTCCCTCCCTCCCTTCCACTCTCTAAAATCAATGGAAAAAATATCCTCTGGTGAGGATTAACAACAACAAAAATCATCACCTTCTCTGCAAATGACTCTGGGAAGGCGGTGGGTGCAGAGGAAAGAGCATTAACTCGGATTCTTCCCCAGATTTCTGGTCACCTACGGAGAACCCTCCTCCAACTAGCCCAAGGAAGTACCTGCTGTTCACTTCCTTCCCGTCTTCCTTACGGGATTTACCCACCGCCTAAAGCTGTACTCACGTATTTTAAACTAAGATGTAGGTACAACTTGTGTCCTGTGAGATATGATCATGAACGTCCAGTCCTGTCCTGTCCACGGAGTCTACCGACCTCCCGTCATCGCTGCGCAACTTCCCCACGCCTCCCGGCCCCTCCCGTGACCCTCTGGCCCGCACAACCCTCTACGGCACAGACTTCGCAGGTCGCCGTCCACTAACTGCCCAGCCGCCAAACCGCACCCGGAAACCGGGAGAACAGCCAACCCCACAGGCACTCGAGTCCACTCACCGCCACGCGCGCACAGTAACCAAGAGGCGGTGGGGGGAGGAGTGGGCGGGGCCCGCCGAGCGGCGCTCGCGCCTGCGCACACCCCCTGGCCCAACGGAGCGCGTCAGTTCCGGCGCTAGCAGTGCGCAGGCGCTGACTCTGGTGGAGCTCTGTTCCCTCCATGAAAGGTGGCAATCCAATGAAAACTTAAGGTTTTTCAAGCGAAATACAGGGAACCTATTTGTTCTTGGGGAGATGTACATTTCACAAACATCTATCAGGGAGGGCTTCGTTGGTCTGTCTACTCAATCTTCTAATAGAAAAATCAAGACGTGAGAGGTCTTATAATGTTGATAGGATTAGAAAAACTTTAGAGTCTCCACTGTAATCAATTTCCTTCCCAAACTCAACGTGGTTACTGGGTCCAGCCATGCGCATTTTCCACTGGGGGTGACAGCGAAAGCAACGTCCAGTCAGTGACCAAACGAGATAGAAGCTGTTTTCACGCTGAAATAAGGTTAGCTACTGATTTGGCGAGTAATCTATCAGGCAGTAACATTTCTCTATGGAAATAATTCCATATGTGGGAGACTTGCCGTGAACTTCCCAGAACCTTCCTTATTGAGGGTATAAAAACCTCCAGCAAAGTACTTGTTAAACCTGGCAGCATCAAATCATAAGTGATATACGTACTTACTTTCCATTCAAGAAGGCATTCAACCTGTATTATGTTCCTACCTACTTTTCCTTCATTTTTTTTTTAACCAACTTTATTATCGTGCTGTTTTATATATTCTGCAGAATCACCTTAAGTCGTTTCTGGCATAAGTTGAGGATATAAATAAAAGACTCAGCTGTCAAATAATAATAGTATATAAAACCGGTTTACAACTTGGGAAGTACCATAATTTCAATTATAAATACCATTTCCTGGTCTATGGCAACCCATGCTTTACTTTAAAAAAAAAAAATATATATATATATTTTTTATTGACTTCAGAGAGGAAGGGAGAGGGATAGATAGAAACACCAATGATGAGAGAATCATTGATCGGCTGCCTCCTGCACACCTCCTACTGGGCATCGAGTCCACAACCCAGGCATGTGCCCTTGGCCAGAATCAAACCTGGGACCCTTCAGTCCGCAGGCCGACGCTCTATCCACTGAGCCAAACCAGCTAGGGCTCCATGCTCTACTTTTGACTTCGATGGCTTTTAAGTGATGACAAGTCAATTACACCAAGTATTTCAAAATTAGGTGTAACTTAGCAAAAGAGCAGGAAAGAAAATACATAGAACAAACCAAAAATCAATAACATGAACCAAGAAACAAGAACCAACTTTATGGCAGTATATATTTTTTTTAACACTTGGAGTACGGGTGAATTTCCCGCCAAAATATAAGATGGCTCTGTCTTTTGGTTTTGTTCCATCCACCAAAAGGGTGGATTACAAACAAATATTTGGTAATACGCAGTTACAATCGACCCGAGTTTACACGTTTCCCGCACTCCACCGCAAATCTATATGAACCGAGTTAAAGACGGCTCCCGCGGAGTACGCGGCAATTCACGCGAGCACTCCAAGTGTTAACAGAGGTGTAGCGTTCCATACATTGGAGACTGTCTTGGCCTATAATTTAAAAACCATGTTAAAGCAATTTTTGGTTTGAAATAGATTTTAAACTTTTAAGTTTCAATTGTTTTCATAGCATATGAGATGCAATAGTTACCTTCATGTAGTGTGTATTATGATGCTTTTTATCATTAAAGTGACCAGGAAGTCAAGAAGTTCAATTATACCTCCACCACCAGTGCTGATTACTTAGCCAGCCTGTTCACAGTAACACATGAAGATGAATTTTCCTGGTGAAACATTTGCACTGTAATTTAATGGTTCTTGCAAATCATAAAAAATTTAAAATATCAAAGGCAATTTGATTCTCATTGAAGTAAAGGGAAAATCGCTTAAGTTAAACTGGACTTGAAAAGATGCTTTCAAATCTGTTTTGATTCAGGAGTTATTCTGTTTGTGTATTTATGAGTGATTTCTGTCCATCATGCTACTCTTCAGAAAAGGTGCATAAAAGAAATGAAGGTTACTCTGTAAAGATCTAAGATGAAGCCAGACTCAACTTTCATTTTTAAAAAACAGAAACCCACACCTGAAACCTGTATGTTCATGTTGACCAATGTCACTCCAATCAATTAATTTTAAAAAGTACTAATTACCTATAATTACAAGGACAGATTCATGTGTTTTTCTTCCATTCTTCAAGTGCTTTGTCACCAAATTACTCAAATTAACCTAAGTTGCAAAGGGTGTTCCCATATTCTAGACCCATTGATGTTTGGAGAAGACATAAACTGAGGAAATCTGATTGAGACTTTCTAGGGCAGTGTAGTAAAGCTCTTAACTTCACACAAGATATAAACTTGTTTTACTTCTCCAATTTATTTGACTTACAGTGATACATGAAACTGCCTTTGGAAATCACTGTTAGGGTTTTTGTAGTTGTTGTAGGATTGATATGAGCGTATTCAGCAGAAATACCCTTAAGTAGATCAATTTTCTTGTTTAAAAAAGAAAATACAGTGAACTCTCTCAAAATACCACCATAGTGGCTGTGGCAGGGGCTATACAGTCATATTGTATGTGAAGACATCACAGTATTTAAAAATTAATGACTATCAGTTATTAAACTTTGTGTAAAGACACACTTATCTAATGGAACAAACTGTGTTCTTAGAAAGAATTTTTAAATATAACAGAATTTATTGAGTATCTACTATTATGTTTTATCAGCGTGTTTAAAATTTTTCCTTTGGGAGAATAACTTACATGAAAAGAATTCAATAGGGAAATGATTTATGTGCTAGAAGTTAGACAGTACATTGTCATTATGGCTTTATGGAATGTCCCAGCAGGTTTTCTCATAAATTTCAAATACGCCCTTTACTTCCACTTAGTTTTAAAAGAAAGTAAAACTGAACAAACATTTGAGATTACAAAGAATTTACATTGACCCAATCTAAGATCCAATATTTACAAAATAAAATGATGCATAATCAACACACCAAGGCATCATTTGTAAGCTAGTCAATATAAACCAACTGTATTTTTAGAGAGCACAATTACTTTAAAGATGTCTTTTAAAAGACAATACCAAATTTTTATATTTGGGACCTTTAAAATCATCTATGGCTCTCAAATACCAGGTGACTATTAGCCTGTGTTCCAGGTCCTGCCCTTAATAATTAAAGAGGGAAAACGAAAATTCAATACAACTCTGCTTAGTCCTCTTAAACCTAAATTTTCTATATCCACTCTTGGAGTAAAATCAAATCTCAATACAACCTAAGAAACAGCATTATGAATCAATTAATATTCAAAGCAAAATCAAGTTTAAAATAAATATATTTTCAAAACACATTTTCTTTTTAAAAAAATTAACTTTTCACCCTATTTGGCTCAGTGGTTAGAGTATCAGCCCACAGACTGAATGAAGGGTCTTGGGTTTGGTTCCTGGTCATAGGACAAGTACCTTGGTTGCAGGTTCGATCCCTGCCCTACTCAGAGTGCTTATGGTAGACAACCAATCAATGTCTATGTCTCTCCTTCTCTCTCTCTCTCTCTCTCTCTCTCTCTCTCTCTCACACACACACACACACACACACACCAATGTTTCTCTCCCTCTCCTCCCTCCCCCCTCTTTCCTTCTACCTCCCTTCACTCTGTCTGAAAGTCAATAGAAAAAAATATCCTGGGGTGAGGATTTTTTTTTTTAAATTAACTTTTCAGTGCACATATTTACAAGATTTAAGATTAGGCAAAGAGTGAAAGTCTGTCTGACACAGCAGAATGGCAATTTTCCACTTTCCCTGAAAGGCCATAAAAAGAATGACCCAAACCACTAAAAATATTTACTGCAAATACGCCCCAACTCCAATGACTTAATTGATAACTCTGACATTGTTTCTAAGACTAAGCTGAAATAAAAATAAATACATTGAATATTATAGAATGTAAACAAAACGTTTTCTTTTCGAATATTCTATCAGGACTGGGTGTTCTCACAGAAGGTAATACAAATCTTATCTATACAGATATATCATTTTTTTATTTTAAATTATGACTGTATAATGTCCCCAGTGTCAGTCATTCTATGATGGTAAATGAAAGCACCATTTCAATCAGTTTCATAAAAGTCTAAATACCCACGAACAAATCACACACAGTCAAAACAAAAATGTAATAAAAATATTTAGTTAAAAGACACATAGCTCCCATTTATAGATTTAAAAATACAAATAAAATTTTATCAATTTGATATTCAGCCTTTAACTGGCTCAATACATAGCCCTGATTTATTTCCTAAAATCGTATTATAGCATCTTTTGAAAAAATGAAATGCAACTTTATACCTTATACCTTCATTAGTAATGTTAATAGAAGCAAATATTTAAGCCATATACTTGTCCCTGGGTCTCTCGAAAAAAACTGAAAAGTCTTAGCATAAGTTTAAATGTTTAATATTTATAAATTTAAAAAATTTTACACATGCTGAATGGTAGCAATGCTAACACTTTGTGACGATTAAACCACACACTCACTGCATGGAGACTCTTTGTTCAGAGAGCCGAATCGCAACACCAATATTTGCAATCTGTCATAATTTTATGTGGTAGACGACACACCATGAAGCCTAGGCTCAGAACACTCTTGAGGTCAGGTCCATGTTAGATACATAGTACAGGTGCAGTATTTAATTTCAGGCTAATAAAGTTAGCTAATAGTACATACCTGACAGCTCCTAACAGCTGAGACCTAAGCGTATAGACTGAAAATGAGAAAACCTCTGGCCTAGGAATAGGTGAAGAGCAAACCCCAGGAGGTGAGGTGGACAAACACGTGTGCATGTAGCTCAGTCTTCAGACTTAGATAGGG